AATAAATTTCATATATAAAAAAAAAATAAAAAATAAAAAAAAAATAAAATGTTGTCCAGCCTAGTATTACTAGGGCCACGCTCCCAGCCCTCTCAGCTCATGCCGGGGAGCATTGCAAGATGTAGGGTTTGTTTCTTTTTTTACAAGTGGTACACAATTCAAAAGGTACCAAAGGTGTGTGTAGGAAAGAGTAAGTCTCTGTTCACCCAACCCCCAGCCACCTTGTTCCACTCGTGCAGGCACCTGCTGTTTCCAACTTCCCTGCACATCCTGGGTGCACAAGCATGTATGTATGGTCTTTACAAATGTAGATGGTAGAATATTACATGGACCGTTCTGTCCCTTTCTTTTCCCCCTTAACAATATATCTTGGAAGCCCTCAACATCAGTACAGAAAGAACTGCTTCTGGTTTTTGTTTTTGTTTTTTTTTTAATTTTTTTTAACATTTTATTTATTTTTGAGACAGAGACAGAGCATGAACAGGGGAGGGGCAGAGAGAGAGGGAGACACAGAATCTGAAGCAGGCTCCAGGCTCTGAGCTGTCAGCACAGAGCCCGACGCGGGGCTTGAACTCACCGACCGTGAGATCATGACCTGAGCTGAAGTCGGACGCTCAACCGACCGAGCCACCCAGGCGCCCCTGCTTCTGGTTTTTAACATCTCTTCAGTATTCCCTTAGCAGTACTATAGGTTATTTAGCCAGACCCTGTTGAGGGACATTTTAGTTCTTTCCCTTCTTCTCTGTTACAAGTAACATTGCGACAATAACCTCATCACTTCCCAAATTGCTCTTGCTTGTAATTTCTTTGTGGTCATATTTATCTTCGAATTACATGTAATGTTAAAGAAGACCGAGATTTTTGTGTTTAATCAATGGCATAGGTTTAAAAAGGTCAGAGGATCCTGTTCAAAGCAGTCTTGGGGAAAAGTCAGAGCCACATCACTAGGAGTGCTCCTGTGGGCTTGCATTCGGGCCCGCGGCCAGCAGCTTGCATGGTGGGGCATTTAAGAAACTGTGATTTTGAGAAACAGCATTATAATTTCTGTAAGGAGTACACCGAGGGACATAGTCTTTATGTGATACAGAGTCCTTGCTATGAGTACAGAGAGAAACCTCTGGTGCATTTCTGGTGTATGGATGGTGTAAAATCTGTAATCGACTTTTTGGGCAGCTAAAAGCTGATGATTCTGGGGCACAGCTTTAGCAGTAAGTGCACAGGACCTGGTCGCACATCTTCCAGGCACGAGCCACCTTCTTGGTTCCATTCTGGATGAGTTATTTCCCCAACATGTCCCCGTTTATTCCAGTTTCCAGAGTTGCTTTTATCTTGTGGGGAGTGTTTCTGTTCATTGGCTTTTGTTAGTAGAAGCAATATCTAACATGATTAATCTCATTATAGCATTGTGGCTGCCTCATAGATACTCAATAAATGTTGAATAAATGAGTTTTGCTAATTGTTTAATAGGATATGAGGAACTTGCGACTTGCTTATAAACAGGAAGAACAGAGTAAACTTGGGATATATGAGAACCTCAACAAACACGCATTTCCTCTTTCCAATGGGCAGGTAAGTACACCCAAATAAACCATTTTTGCATGCATTTGGGGGGTGGGTGTCCAAAAGTCATGTTTTATTTTTCCTTTTTTTCAGAGGTTTCTTTCATCTCATTTCTCTCTGTTTGTAACTAATACCAGGATATTTAAAATTTGTCAGTTCTGTGTAACAATTAAGAAAACTGCCAACTTGTTGCTTCAAAATTTATAGGTTAAAGTAGAAATCTTAATCTATTCAGCTATGAGCTGAATGAAGAGCTTTAGTATGGGGTATATGATATAGCAGAGAAATATCAACATGTATATTTTGTATTTTTTGTATCCAGACTCTCTTTGCATTCAACTACAAAGAAAAATTTCCGATAAACGGATGGAAAGTTTATGATCCTGTATCTGAATATAAGAGACAGGTAAAGTATGATGCTTATCGAACCGAAAATAGTGGGTGGAACTTTTTTTTTCCTTTTCTCAGAGGTTAGGAATGTAGCGGAGAAGAAACCATTTGAAACAGGTTGTGCATGTGACTCCCTTAGCCTGTAGGCTCTTCATTCTCCCGATGCCACACCTTTCGTTACGCTGCTCTTCGTCCTTTTTCCAGAGGCCAAGTGGAGTACAAGCACAGGGGTTTACAAAGCAAATTGGCTGGGGTGGGTTTTATTAGGTACTCTGGTGATGAGTTGATGAGTAAGGATCAAACCAATGGCTTAAATTAGATGATGTGTGTGGCCTGACTACATCAGTATGCTGTGGTGTTCCTATACCTATGTAATTTTCAGTGCATTGTCAGTTTCAAGATGTTCTTATAAGAGACTGTTTGCATGACATTTAATCTTTGCCCCCACTGTATATTTGGTATGGTGGTTTACATTACTTATTTTATAGATGTTTGTAAAAAGTTTCTGTACATGTTCATGTACATGTTGTTTCCTAAACAACTTTCATGGGTTTTTCAAAGGCAACACCATCCTCATTCTATATAGAAAACACAACAAGAGGGGCACCTGGGTGGTTCACTTGGTTGAGTGTCCAACCCCTGGTTTCAGCTCAGTCATGATCTCACGGTTTCGTGAGTTTGAGCCCCACATTGGGGATTCTCTCTCTCCCTCTCTCTTTTCTCCTCCCCTGCTCATGCTGTCTCTCTCTCTCTCAAAATACATAAATAGACTTTTAAGAAAAAGAAAACACAACAAGAAATCTATATGGGATTCGATTCTAGTATATAATTTCCATTTTAAAATATGTTTAGAAATTCTTCTGTTTCATTACATTTTTAAATTTTTTTTTTCAACGTTTTTATTTATTTATGGGACAGACAGAGACAGAGCATGAACGGGGGAGGGGCAGAGAGAGAGGGAGACACAGAATCGGAAACAGGCTCCAGGCTCCGAGCCATCAGCCCAGAGCCTGACGCGGGGCTCGAACTCGCGGACCGCAAGATCGTGACCTGGCTGAAGTCGGACGCTTAACCGACTGCGCCACCCAGGCGCCCCTCATTACATTTTTAGACATGGGTAAGAAGTGGATTGTGTTAGATAAATATATATTTAAACTTTTAAGTAGCAATGAACAACAAATTATAAATGGATTTTAGGGGAAAATAAATGGATGTGGTTCATGCCTAGTATTTTTTGAAAGTATAAAAGTTTGCTCCCCCCCCCACCTTCTCTAACGTGCTGCAGGGCTTGCCAAATGAGAGCTGGAAAATATCCAAAGTGAACAGTAGCTATGAGCTCTGCGACACCTATCCTGCTGTCATTGTGGTGCCAACTAGTGTAAAAGATGATGACCTTTCAAAAGTGGCGGCCTTTCGAGCAAAAGGCAGAGTCCCCGTAAGTGATAAACATCATCACTCAGGCACAAACACACACTGTATGGGATCTAACATGGAAAGAACAAGACAGCAAAACTCTAGTGAACAAAATAGAAAGTGTAAAACTCAGCTGAAAAACCTCAAAAGGCAGCTGCAAATGAGGAAGGAGTGGCAAGAAAGCATGCTCTTGCGTTGACAGTATGTGCATCTCTGGTTTCCATGAGTCCTCTTAGAGCAAATACGCTTTCTTAGATGCTAAGTGGAATACTATAGCTGCACGACAGGGACATGATTACAAAAGCAGACATAGGAGCCAGCAGGGGGTGAATTGTTTTAACCAGTTTTATCGAGGTATAATTGATACACAAAAACCTGCACATGTACAGCTTGATGAGATTGAACATATGTATACACCCGTGACCCTCTCACCATAATCAAGGAGGGAGTGAATGTTTTTGAACTTAGCATTTGTGGTCGGGTATAATCTCGAGTCTCTTGGCTGCTTAAGGAAAATGGGAGGTTTGGGGGCATAGTTTCAGATCCTGTAAGGGACCGTCTTCACTTTGCCCTCATCCTGCCACATATGTGATGGTTAAGATACAAAGATGTTTTTAAATTAGGAGACAAAATAAAACTAATCATTCAAATAGGAGTGGGGCTTGACATTAGTTATAGTTTGACTTAGTTTGTTTTTCATAGAATACAATTTTAGTGGTGGATGGGGATTTTTGGAGCTTATCGAGTCAGACTCCTTCCAACCTGACTCAAAAACAGTGAGTTCCATGGCCACTATCATGCTGTGCTTGGTTTTACTCATCATGTTTGAGAAAAGTACACAGAAGAAGCTGTGCTTGAAGAGAGAACTTATTTTTAAGGCATGGTGATCAGGGGACAGGGGAATCAGGGTGATCAGGGGAACTGTACTAATGTTTGTTGCTTATAAACACCAGGTGTTATCATGGATTCATCCAGAAAGTCAGGCAACGATTACCCGTTGCAGCCAGCCACTTGTGGGTCCCAATGATAAACGCTGCAAAGAAGATGAAAAATACTTGCAAACAATAATGGATGCTAATGCACAGTCTCACAAACTTATCATCTTTGATGCCCGACAAAACAGCGTCGCTGATACCAACAAGGTACACTCTCAACAAAGTTGCAGAAACGGCGGATTTTTTCTTAATGCAGTGGCCATAGATTGTTTTGCGGTTCAGTTAGACTGCTGAGTTCCTCCCCACCTGAAGGTGGGCTCCATCGGAGCAGCCCATTGCTGTTCGTCCCTGCTATGTGGCCTGTGGGCCTACATGTGGGGTCTCTTTCATGGCTTCTCCACAATCCATGGCTTCTCCACAATCCTGTCTGCTCCACTAGGTCAGCAAAGACCCAGAAAGCGAATTACCACCTAAAGGATCAAGTTTTAGTGAAATGATGGTGAAGCCGTTGGAAGTCCCTTTAACGTGTGACATATGTGGTCTCTGTTAGAACACGGTCACCTGTGTACAACCGGGCAAATACACAAAGTTTCCGTAAATCATATGCGACAGTGGCATCTGCACACAGCTGCCATTTGATCCCCACCAGCCAAAGGGGGCAGGATCCTTCATACCCAGGCACAGCTATGAGACCACGCCTCCAGCACCTGGCCTCCAAGTAGGGAAGGCTCTCAAACGCGTCATTTCTGTTGCCCAAGAATGACTTTCTGACAGTGTGTTACTGCAGGCGTGCATCTGGCAGTCAGAGGACTTGGCCCTCTCTGTAAGTGCTTTCAGGGATCCGGAAGGTGGCGACAGCCTTACCGTCTCATGCTTACTTGTGAAATGACACTTGGGTAACAGACGTGTAATGAGCACCTACTAGGGCCAGGTGCTGGGGAATACGAAGGTGGACCAGGCGAGGTGCTGTATCATAGGAGGTGTCAGCTCAACATGCAGGGGGGCCAGGAGAGGGCCTGGCTAGCCCTGCTTGTGAAGTTGGACAAGGCTTCACGGAGTAGGAGGCATTTGAGTGGCTTTGGTGGTAGGTAAGAAGAGACGGGCGCAGGTCCCTATCTAACAGTGTTGCAGAGCACGTCGCTCATGAGACTGGCACAAAGGAAGAGGTCTGAGGGTGTGGTCACCAACCCCATGCCCAGCCTGTGTCCCCTCAGCAGTGCTTGGGAGTGTCTTTCTTTTGGCAGTCTGTGCCGGTTCTTGCTACGGTGATTATTCTGTCATTGACCATGATCTCCAAAACCCCTACCTCATGCCTCCTCTGCTCACTCTTGAGAGAAGCCATTACCTTCTCCTTTGTAGGTCAAACAGGGCATCGGACATGGCATTTTCCCTCAGTCCTTGGGTGCCTGCTGTGTGTCACGGCTTGCTAGGCACTGGGGAGAGACGCTGAGCAAGCAATCACGTAGTGTGCCATGGAGAACATAAAGCGTGCTCTGAGGGAGGGTCAAAGGAGCACGGTTATTTGCTTCATGACCCTGGCAGCGACTTCATCCCTCTAGACCACAATTGCCTCGTCTCTAAAATGAGACTGGTGGTACGCCTACTTCCTGGAGTCAACGTGAAGGAGGTCCTCTAAACGGCCTGGGACAGGGCCTGTCCCAGAGAGAGCATTTGGGTTCGTGTTAGCCATCCCCATTCCTGACCTCAGAGTAAAATGCTCTGTCCACTTGGCCTTCGTGACATCTCGGCCCTCGGATCTCTCTCCAGCCTGGCCTGCTCAGTCTCCTTCACTAGCCCCTCCCCCCGTTCCCAACCTCCAAATGGTGGTGCTTCCTGAACTCCATACGGGCTCCTCTTTTCTACTTTTCACCATCTCCCCGGGGCCATTTTCTCCAATGCTGTGACTCCAGACACCCTCTGTATGTTGAATTTGACACCCGGATTTCCATCTCACCCTGATCCCTCCTGAAGTCGTGACAGCATTTCCATCCACTTGCCTGGTTGACATCTTTGCTCAGCCATCCCCCAGGTAATGGCTTCAGTGTGTCCAAATTGGCCTGAGAGGTGGGGCCATGAGAACCCTTGGCTTCCCAATCCATTCTGCTTGGCCTTTCCTCCAGGCTCTGCCCTTGGTGCCCTTGCACCCTGGCCAGGTTTCTGACCTTGCTGTAAGCCCCAGGTGCGTCTTCTGCAAGATGGGAGACGTAGTGAGTGGCATAGGGTGTGTAAGCATGAAAACTGAGAACGATGTGTGTAGTGGCCACAGTACGTGATGCCCATGAGCTTGCCACCCCAGTTGTGTGGCCGGGGGGGGGGGTGGTGGATGACTGGTGGTGCCAGTTATGGATATGGACAAGACTGGCAGAGGAACGGGCTGGGGAAGGAGATGGGCAGGAGAGGAGTTGCCCGCGGCCCTGTGCAAATTAGCACAAACAACTGGGTGGCTTACAACAACACAAGTTTCTTCTCTCACAGTCCAAGAGGACAGAAGTCTGCAATCTGTCGGGGCTGTGATCCCTCTTAAGGGCTTCAGGGGAGACTCTGTTCCTTGCCCCTTCCAGCCCCTGGAGGTTGCTCTGTGTGTATAGCCACAGTGCATCCATCTCTCCCTCAGCTCTCTACAGGGGCTTCTCATCCACGTGTCTGTGTCTTCCCCCCTCTCTCTTCTGAGGGTACCTTTGATGGCTTTTAGGGTTCGCCCAAGATAATCCAGATGGTCTCTTCATCTCAAGATCCTTGACTTTATGAGTCAAAGACCCTTTTTCTAAAAGAGGTCACGTTCACAATCACCCAGGATTTGATGTAGATATCCGGGGGTGGGAGGGAGTGTTTTTCAGCCTCCCACAGGGGGTCATTCATAATTAGCTCCCCATGCTCCCTTAACTGGTGTGTCATTAACCCCGTCCATCTTTCCACCTGTCTGTGATGTCGCAGCACTATCCTAGCGCAATGAGAAGGCCGAGAAACTCTGTACTCACAGAGGCACTCTTCTAAACATCCAAGAGAGCAAGGGTGGCCCACTGTGTGTGATGTCACGTGGAAGACACGGAAGCAGGACAGTAAACCGCATGTCTATGACGATTTTAACTGTAGTGGTGTGGTGTCTCAGAAGTGAGCAAGGACATTTATCTGTCTAGGTCCTGGTTAACTCTTCTGCATGTAATATCATGTCACCTGCAAGCAGAGATGCTTTACTTCTTCCTTTCCGATCTGGATGCCTTTTATTTCTTCTTCGTGCCTAATTTCCCGGCAAGAACCTCTATCTAGTACCATGTTGGATAGAAGGGGTGCACGTAGTCAGCCTTGTCTTGTTCCTCATCTTAGGGGGAAAGCTTTCAGTCTTTCACCATTGGGTATATCAGCTGTGGGTTTTTCAACATGCCCTTAACTGGGTTAAGGAACTTCCTTTCTGTTGTTAGTTGTTTGAGTGGTTTTATCACGCACGGTATTGGATTTTCAAAGGCCTTTCCTGTATCGAGATGATAGTGTTGTTTTTTTTTTTCCTTCATTTTAGTACTCTGGTGTATAACGCCGACTGGCTTTTGTATATTGACCATTGTAGTGGGTTGAATAGTGTCACCCAAAAGTTCATGTTCATTTGGAACCTCCGAATGTGACCTTATTTGGAAATAAGGTCTTTGTATATGCAATTAGTGAAGATGAGGTCATACTGGAGGAGGGGGGGGCCTAAATCCACTGACTGGCATCTTTGTAAGAAGGCCACATAGAGACAGACACAGACAGGGAAGGTGGCCATGTGATGACCGAACAGAGATGGGAGCACCGCAGCTGCATGCCGAGTGGCACCAAGCATTGCCACCAAAAGCCCGGAGCAAGGTATGCAACAGTGTCCCTCAGAGCCTCCGGAGGGAAGCAAGCTTGCCACACACGTTGATCTCGGGCCTCTAGCCTCCGGAAGTGTGAGGGAATAAGTCTGTGTTGTTTTGTGCCCCCTACTTTGTGGTACCTTGTTGGTGCAGCCCTAGGAAACTCGTACAACCCCCTTACGTTCCTGGAGTCAATCCCCCTCGGTCATGGTGTCCAGTCTCCTTCCTATGCTGCGAGATGTGGTTTGCGAGTGTTGTGTAGGGGTTCCCTGCAGTGTGGTGTCCATATCATGGCCAGAGTGATCTTCTCAGTGTCTGGCTCTCAGTGTCTGGCTCTCAGTGTCTCGCACAGTCTCAGCGCGTGGAGGCAGCGGCATCTACTTCCTGAACGGGGCCTTGAAAGCCCTCCCCCAGCCCGGCCCTTCCTTGCTATCTCCACGGCTCCCAGGGCCACATCCCCCCTGTGTGCTGCTGCTTTCAGTTCCCATAGCGGGTCCCGGTGTCCCCTCAGAGCCTTCGCCCCCACAGCTAAGCACTCCCCCATCCTTGAGATGACACCTCAAGTGTCACTTCCTCGGGGAGGTCTTTCCAGATGAGCGGAGCTCCCCCTGCGCTGTGGCACCTGGCACATTTTGTAGCTCTGAGCACGGTAGCACTTCCTCACTAAGTGCATAGCTAGCAGCTGGGCTGTTGGGTCCATGGTGGCAGGGAAGGGACTGTTGTGAGGACCCCCAGAACCCAGCTAGGACACAATAGCTGCTCCATGGCTGGAACGAGGGGTCGGGTGGATCAGGTTGGGTTCATCTCTCAGTGGATAGTTGCCATGTAGGGGATCCGATGACAGGTCACGTTGTATGTTAATTTCAAAAGTCCAGACTCCATTGTGGAACCACTGTGATGTCACCAAAGGGTTTTGAAGTCTGATTGTTTCTTGAGAGAGTGAAAATGGGGGGAAGGAATTTAGTTTTAACTGTTGCATTTGTGGAGCCTGTGTGGGGAAGAGAATGCTGTGGAGCTCAGTGAAAGGTCAGGTTGAACGTTAGGGTTGGGGCCCAGTAGCATGCTAGGTGGTGGTTACAGGCTGGGGGCGGGCAGGGGTGAGGCCACCAAAGGAGTCCAGGTTGTGCGAGCCATCTGTGGAGGACAGGAGACGGATTAAGGGAGGAAGGGGTGTTTCAAGTGGTGGGAGGAGACCCCAAGGAGGGAGGGAGCAGCCCGTCCTAGATGCCAGGAGAGGAGGAGTGTCCAGCAGGAGAACTGGGAGTGAGAGGAGTCTTAGCTTAGAGTGCTCCAACAAAATATCGTAGGCTGGGTGGCCTATGAAGAACAGACATTTCTTCTCTCACAGCCCTGGATTCTGGGAAGTCCAAACTCACGGTA